GTACTTGCAAAGCCTAAGTGGTGCACATCAGTCAGCATGGATTTTTTTTTTTTTTTCTGAGACAGGGTTTCATGTAATCCAGTCTTCCCTTGAGCTTGTTGTGTAGCTGAGAGTGTCCTTGAGCTTCTTATCCACCTACCTCCACTTCCTAAGACCTGAGATTACAGGCATGTGACACCATGTCTGTCCTCAACATGGCTTTATTCTTGTTCTTAAGAGAGGGGTGATTAATTTACTTTAGCTCAATTTTTAGCCTGTCCTGGGAAGGAGGGTGTGGTAGAGCAGGAGGATCAGGAGTTTAAGGCCATCCTTGGCTTCAGAGTGAGTTCAAGGCCAGTTTGGACTTCAATGAGATTCTGTTTTTTGTTTTTTCCTTTAAAAAAAAAAAATATATATATATATATATATATGTACACATATATTTACCATATATACATATATAGATATGAAACATACTCTAATATAAATATAGTAAGCACATAAACCAATAATAATAGTCATCTGTTTTCAGGTGTTATATACTACACATAATTAGTTGTAGTGTACTTCTAGTGCACTGGCAGGATAAGAAGTTTATTGTTTGTTTGTTTGGAGACTGGGTCTTGCTCTGCAGCCCAAGCTGGCTTGGAAGTTACTATAGCTCATCGCAATCCTCCTGCATTAGCCTCCCAGTGCTGGGATCATAGGCATCGGCTACCCCATCCAGCTCAGGAAGTTTACTTCTACCAGCATCACCCCAAGCTTGTAACTGATGCATTATGCTTTGACTTTATGATTTGATTTTATGGGACCACATTAACGTTCATGACCCATTATTGACCAAAGATCTCTTATGTGGAGCATGATTATCTCCTTAAACAAGTGTGTGGACTGGAGAAAGGGTTTCATAAGAAAAGATAGCATCCTGCCAGGCCTGGTGGTACATATTTGTCATCCTGTAGGAGACTGATGCAAGAAGATCATAAGTTCAAGGATTACCTATGCTACTCGGTGAATTAAAGGCCAGCCTGAGCAACTTAATAGCTTAGTCTTAAAAGAAAAAGTGAAAAAGAGGGTCCGGGTTGTAGTTCAGTGGTAGAGCACTTGCCTTGCCTGTGCGAGGCCCTAGGTCCACAATGTGGAGGGAGTAGGTCATCATCCTCAAAGGATTTTGCTGAAGACTGAGAGTGTTGCTTGGCACAAACTTGGATATTCAGTTTCCCCTACCACTGTCAAGTCATGTTTCTCTATTTTCATCTCTTTTCCCTTTTAACTAGTTATTAGCTCCTAGTCTGTGGAAAGGAATCTGCAGCTGTCAAGGCTTGGGACAAGTAGTAATTTGGACGCTGTGCCTTTGACAGCACTGCAGCCAGTGCTCCACTCCCATCCTCACCCCAGACTAAGATTCCCTCTTAGTGACAGAGTAGTGCTATAGCGACGTACAGAACCAAGAGAGCAGTTCTTCATGACTCGTAGAGAGGGCTTATCCCACTCCTGCTACCTTTTTGCAGCACACTAGTGAGACTGAGATGAATTGGTGTCTGGGGCCTGAAGGTAATTAAAGGACAAATGTGTTTACTTTTGCTTTCTTTGAACTTCTTCCAGAAGCGTTTATGTGCTTATCGTAACTTTGGGAGGATGAAACCAAATTAGTGTTTTACTAGATGTGCTTGGCATCTAGGATAGCATATTTTGTACAGTTTTCTGTGATAACATACATTCTTATCTAAGGGATATGCAATTTTACAACCTTTCAGTTCTTCTATAAACTCAGAAAAGAGAAGTTTAACTGAATTATGATTGATTATCAATTTAGACTTGCTTGCCACCATTTTTATCAGAACTCATTGGAATGCTGTGGAAAGTTAGGCAGAGACTTGATATTCAACACGATTTGTATAGGAGTAAGTGGGTGTACTGGATAGCTTTGGTGGTCAACTTGGCACCCATAGATAGAGGGAGCCTCAATTGGGGAATTTCCTCCATTGAACTGGCCTGTGGCCATGTCTCTGGGGCATTTTTTTGATTACTGAGTGATGTGGGAGAGCCCAACACACTGTGGTTGGTGCCACCCATGGGCAGGTGGTCCTGTATCATGTAAGAAGGCAGGCTGAGCACAGACCAAGGGAGCAAGCCAGTAAGCAGCATTCATTCCTCCATGGCCTGTGCTCCAGCTCCTGCCTCCAGGTTCCTGTCCTGAGTTCCTACCTCGGGCTTCCTGCTGAACTGTGACCCGGGAGATGTGAGACAAATAAACCCTTTCTCCCCAGGTTGGCATTGGTCAGAGTGTTTTGTCACAGCAGTGGAGAAACAAACTAGAGCAGTGGGCAAATGCAGGAGTGTAGAGAAAAATGTTCTAACTTGTTAACAGCAGCATGCTACTTCATTTTCGTCCTTGGGGTTATACACCAAGCATATTCACTTCCCTGCAGAGAGCAAAAGCATTTCAAACATGTAAAACAAAAGTTGGAAAAGTCAGACACAGCTGTCTGCCTCACTTTACAAAAATCCTTATTCTACCTCATTATATGAGTAAAGTTTTAATTTTCTGTCTTCAGTATTTATGAACAATATTAAAATGTGTAAAAATCCATATCATCTGTATATTTGTGCATTCCAGATGTATTAGTTACTTTTGCTGTAATAAAATAACCTGACATAAGAAATTTAAGGGAGAAAGCATTTATTTTGGCTCACAGTTTAAAGGATACAGTCCATCATGATAGGGAAGTCCTGGCAGCAGGAGCTTGAGACAGGTGGTCAAGTTGCATCCGCAGGAGGCAACAGGGAACAATGGATATTGTGCCCAGCTAGCCTTCTGTCTTTTATGCAGTCCAGGACCCAAGCCCAGGGAATTGCTGCTGCCTCCTTTTAGGGTGGGCTTTTCCATCTCAATTAACCTAATCAAGATAATCCCTCACAGACATGCCCAGAGGCTTGTCTCATAGGTGATTCTGGGTCTTGTTAAGTTGATAAGCATTAACCATAACTTCAGACAACTGCTTTTACATACTAGGCCAGCATTCTACTACTGCGTTATCTCTATAACCCTTGGGGTTTTTTGAGGCATGTTCTTGGCATGTAGCCCCAGATACCCTTGAATTCAAAATCCTCCTGCCTCTGCCTCTCAAGTGCTGGGATTAGAGGCATGAACCATCATACCCAGCTCTATTACACAATTATATTCTTGCTTTGATTTCACTTATTCTCCATGGTATTTCTAAGTAACTGAATTTAAAAAAAAAATTTAATATATCCTTTTTTTTTATTACAAATTGTTGTAAATAGAACATTTCAATTCAATTCAAACAGTATTCGAAAGGCAGGCTACATAGTACCTATGAGGTACTCTGAAATCTGCTCAAAATACAGAAATCAATATAAAATTGTCTTGCTCTGTGGAACACAGTCTAAAGTAATAATATTATTTATTAAAGAAGCACTTATATAGCTCTTGGTATAGTGTACTATTCTGAGTAATTTGTAAACGTGAGCTCATGTAAGCAATGTAAGCAAAGATGTATGCTGAGGGCTTCTAAAGAGGGAAGTTGGGGCTGGAAGATGGCTTAGTTGGTAGAGTGCCTGCTGCATGAGCATTAGAGCCTGTGCTTGGATTTCCAGTACCCAAGTAAAAGCCAGACACAGTAGCTAAGACGGTAACCTCAGCTGGGGAGGAGGGGAGGGGAATCCCTGTAGCTCATTGCCAGCCAGCCTGGCCTCATCAGCAAGCTCCAGGTTCAGTGAGAGACTGTTCAAAAAATAAGAAAGAAAACAAAGCTGGGATGTAACTCAGTTGGCAGAGTGCTTGCCTAGCATGAAGCCCTGGGTTGATCCCCAACACCTTAGAAACTGGGTGTGGTGGTGCACGCCTGTGATCCCAACACTCAGGAAGTGGAAGCAGGAGGATCAGAATTTCAGAGCATTCAGCTGTGTAATAAAATTGAGGCTAACTGTGGCTACATGAGAACCTGTCTCAAAAATTATTTAAAGTGAGACTTGGTAGCACAGGCTTTAATCCCAGTGCTCAGGAGGCAAAGTTGGTTGATCTCTGTGAGTTCAAGGTCAGCCTAGTCTACATAGTTAGTTCCAGGTCAGCCAGGACTACACCGTGAGACCCTGTCTCAAAGAAAAACAAGGGGGTGGGGGGTGGGGACTGGAGAGATGACTCATCAGTTAAGAGCACAGGCTGCTCAGTTCCCAGTGTCCACATAGTAGCTAATAACCATCTGTGACTCCAGTTCCAGGGAATCCAATGGTCTCTTCTGGCCTCCTCAGACATTGCATAATCATGATGCAACTGCATACATGCAAACAAAACACTCATAAAATAAAAATAAATATGTCAAAAAAAGGGTTGAAAGCAATAGAGGAAGGCACCTGAGGTCAGCAACAGGCTTGTGCACCCCCCACACACACGTGCACACACAGAAAAAAATGAATGAATAAATAAGTAGAGAGAAGTGGCCATTGTTTGGGTTTCACCATAACTAATAATGAGGAATGGCAGAGCTGTGGGCAGGAAGATAAGCCCCTAGCACTCTCTTATTCTCTCGAATCTTCAGAACAGGACACGTGAACAAGACAGGACAGCTGAGCCATGTTGCTAGCCCAATATGATCATTGGACACTGTCTTTTTATCTGAAGCCGCCTTTGAATATGAGTTTCTCCAAACAAATTTAGGAGGCCCCTGGAGTATCTTCTCTAAGATAAGATTTCTCAGATGTATTTATTTGACCTTTATTAGGTTTTGGTCTTGGAAAAAGACTGCCTGTTGAATTGTTCATAGTGAGCAAGCTCCAATGTACTGTTTATCTACAGCAGGCTACTCCCCCCAGCCCCAGCTTAGCAGTCTAAGCAAGTTTACAGATTGATTTCTGTGTCCAACAAAATTCCAGAAGGTTAAGGATTACAATTTTGCATATGTTATATGGTAGACTTGACCTCTGAGGAGGGCAAAATGCTCTATCAGTTGTTTGTGCTGTGTATGGTTTGAGATGTGCCACATGTGCTTTGTTTTCAGGTCCATATTGTGGAAGCTGGGCTGTTCCCAAAGAACTCTGGCTGAATTCAAACGAAGTGACTGTTCGCTTCCAAAGTGGATCCCACATTTCTGGTCGGGGTTTTTTGCTGGCCTATGCCAGCAGTGACCATCCAGGTACAGCAGGAAAACTGACATGTGTGTGTAAACCATATCTGCCTCTTGATACTTATTACTTCCTCTGGAAAGAATTGTGATCTCAAATGCAACATTTAAGACAGAGAGGAACAGTTTCTTTGCAAGTATTTGATCTCCACCAAGTCATTATAGAGCAAAAAGGGTAGATGGAGCCAATAATCAACTGATGGTGGGGTGAAGGGGATCTCATTTCCTATAAACCTTGGATGGGACATCTTTGGAGCAGTCCTCTGACCCTAATGCCTGGCTTCTCTGAAGCTGCTCCTCAGCCTCCTTCCTTCTTCAGGAAGCGAGCCTTTTAACCAGTGTGTCTCACATTAATCTCACATTAGTGCGCCAGCATGGAGACACACAGTATGAGCATGATGAGACATCACTGTCATATGGTACCCTAACCATGGGTAGGGGAAAAAGGAAGAGAGTATGAACACTGGTGAGAGAGAGAGGAAAGTGTGAGCTCCTATCCTGACCTGCTGCAGTGCAGAGTCATCACCACACCGCCTACTCCATGGCTAGCCAGGATCATAAGGTGCCCAAGTTTCTTCTGTCAGTCCCCTTTGGAAGAAATATTTCCAGAAAGGGGTGTGCCACTCACTTCCTCTGTAGCCAATCAGATATGATTCATATATTCATCACTAAGATTCCTGAAAGATTTTGGAAAGGAAAGAGCTTTTGGCAAGAGTAGAATATTGGCGGACTGTTGTAGGTTTATCTGAATGCATTTGCCCCCACAGCCTTAGCTTCCCACTGTGGAGTGTGAGTTCAGTTATGAATGTTTCTAAACAAAGGCCCTTCCTTTGAAATGCTTGCTCTTGATTGATCAAGAGCAGCACCCTGTTGATACTCAGACAGACTTGTATTTCTGTGTCACTAGATGACCTTGACTGAATTATGTGAACTAAAATGTTTCTGGCAAGCCAGGGGTGTAGCTCAGGTGATAGAGTGCTTGCCCGTGTGTAAAGCCCTGGGTTTGATCTCCAGCACCACATAAATCCGACCAGGGTGGCACATGCAGTAATTCCAGAACTACGGAGGTCGGGGTGGGAGGATCAGAAAAGTTCCAGGTCTTCCTCAGCTACATAGTGAACTTGAGGCCAGCCTGGCCAACCTGGGACCCTGTCAAAAAAATCCTGGTAACCTTCTCCATGGACCATGGTGGGTTTTTGAAATAGTTTTTCTCCTCTCAAAGTGGTTGTACACATGATGCCTGTAGATAGATAATGGTTAGTGACTGTTGGTTTTCCTGTTAGAAGTAGACTTTGTTATCACTCTCTAGATAGACTATTACACTAAAAAACATCATTGGTGAGAGAAAAGAAAAATAAACTGATTAAATACTAGACAGTAATCTTGGGTGTTTATTTTTACACAAGAAAATTCAGATAGCATGATCATAATACTTTCAAAAATTGTCTTTTTTATTTCAAAAGAAGTCTTTAGAAAAGCACAAGTGCCCTGACTCATACTCCATCTGCTAATTGTATTTGTCTTTATTTACAACAGATTTAATAACGTGTCTAGAACGTGGCAGTCATTATTCAGAGGGAAAATACAGGTAAATATAGGTGTCCTGACTGTGTTTCAGTCATGTTGTAAAATGCCTTGTTCTTAATATGAAACTAGATAAAAATTCCTATTTGTACTTAAATTGTTTTTAAACTATCCATGTTGTGTCAATAAGGAATATTTGGGATGGTTTTTCAAAAGACAGAGGTCAGCAAACTTTTCGTCAAGCGTTGCATTATAAATATTTTAAGTTTTGTAGGCTATGAGTTCCTATTGCATTGTTATATACAATTTCTGTTGTTGTAGCAAAAAAAAGCAAAGACAGAGGCTGGAGGGATGACTCAGCAGTTAAAATGTGTGCTGCTCTTACAGAGGACCTGAATTCATTTTCCAGCACCCACATCAGGTGTCTCATAATCTCCTGTAACTCCAGCTCCAGTGAGATCCAATATCTCTGGCCTCCATGGTGCACATACTCACAGACATGTACACATACATGTAATTAAAAATAAAATCTTTGGGGGCTGGAGAGATGGCTCAGCAGTTGGGAGAATTGGCTGCTCTTGCAGAGGACTAAGGTTTGATTCCCAGCACCCACATGGAGGATAACAACTGTCTGTAACTCCAGTTCCAGAGGAATCTAATGCCCTGTTCTGACCTCTTCAGGCATTGCACAACATAGGTGCACTTACATACATTCAGTAAAACACATAAAATAAAAATAATAAATATTTATAAATATATATATTATATAGTATATAAATAAAATAGTTTAAATTAAAAATAAGGGGGCTGGAGAGATGGCTCAGTGGTAAAGAGCACTGACTGCTCTTGCAGAGGACCCGGGTTTGATTCCCAGCACCCACATGGCATCTATGAACTGTCCTTAACTCCAGTTCCAGGGAAATCCGATGCCCTCTCCTGACCTCTGCGGCATTGCCTGACATGGGTACACTCACATACATGCAAGCAATGTACTCATACACATAAAATAAAAGCAATAAATAAAAATATATTAAAAAGTAATCATTAACAAGTCTCCATAGGAGGTGGTTGCTGGAATTGGCAATTCTTGGGCTGGAGAGATGGCTCAGCGGTTAAGAACACTGGCTGTTCTTGTAGAAGACCCGGGTTCGAATCCTAGCACCCACATGGCAGCTAACAACCGTCTGTAACTCCAGTTCCAGGGGAATCCAACAGCCTCTTTTGTCCTCCGTGGGCACTGCATGACACAGGTGCACTTACCTACATGGAGGCAATACACGCATACACATCAAATTAAAATAAATCAATAAATCAATAAATAAAAATAAAATCTTTTTTAAAAGCAAAAGTAGATAATATGAAAACAAATGTGTCAATGTTATAGTAAAAATTCATTTATGAAAACAAGCAGGGGTAGAGATATGGCTTAGTGGTTAAGAGCACATACTGCTCTTGCAGGAGATCTGAGTTCAGTTACAAGTACCCGTGTCAAGCAGTTCAAAACTGCCTATAACTACAGCTCCAGAGGATTCTCTGCTTTCTTCTGCCCTCCATGGGCACCTGCACTCATGTGTATACACCCAAACACAGATACACACATGCACATATAATTAAAGATAACATCTTTGAAAAAAAATAAAAAGCAGGGTGGGGCTGTGCCCCACTTGGTAAATTGCTTGTATAGCATGTACAAAGTCCAAGTTTTCTCTCTAGTATCATATTAACTGGGCATTGTGGTGCACATCTGTAATCCAGCCACTCATAAGCTGGCGATAAGAGGTTCCACAGCGCGTTAGAAGCCAGCCTGGGCTATATGAAATTTCATTAGAAAGAAACAGCAAGCAGCAAATTGGTTTTGGTCTATAGTTTGCTGACCCCTCAGTTCTTTATGTTACCAATAAGTCACATTTGAGTCTAGAGCATACTTTTTTTCTTCCTAGATAGTATTTGGGAGTGAAATATATAAGTCATAGGGGAGAGAAGATGATGAGGGTTCATTTCATCTTACCCTAAAGAAAATCCTGCTAATAATAAGAACATGGGGATTGTTATTCCAGCTTTACTTTAACTGGAAAATCTACTTAAATTCTTCGATGTACATTTACTTATTAATGAAGTGAGATGTTCTAGAGCGGGATTCCCAGCCTATGCTGTTTGGGGCTCTGTAGGGCTCTCATGGGCGTCAGATGCTTAGCTTCCCTGGCTTCTACCATCTGCATGCCAGTTGTGATAACCAAGAAGGTCTCTAGACAATGCCTGAAGTCTTCTGGTGGACAAAAGCGCTCCCAACTCAGAACCACTGTCTAGAGGTCTCTGCCAACAGCAGTAACAAAACTAACTTTAGAGTGCTTAGTGGCAGCCACAGTTTCCTGCACTTTGAACATAAGTAGCTCTTATGGTGCTCCAACATATCCACACAATTGTTTCTGTTATATCCTGAAAATGAGACACAAGACTGCTAAGTAATCTCTTACTCAGGGCTACACTAAGTACACCCCGAGAGTGGGGTTTAAAAACCTATGTTCTTAACTGTCTCAGACATCTAGACATTCTGAATGTGCTTATTTTATGTGCAGAATCAATTCTAATGCTATTATTAAGTCTACCAGAGAAAAATGAGGAGCTCAAAATGTGTAATAATTAAATGTTGCCTTGTAAAGTTACTGTTCAACCCATGTATACAGTGATGGGTTAACATACAGTAAAGTTTTACCAGCCATAACTATTCAGTGCCCTGGTGAGAGGGCCTCTGGTCATCGATGGTCAGAGAAGGAGAATGCACTGAAGCCTACAATGTAACATTTTGATAACAAATCATTTAAGCTGTTGGCCAACCATTTTGCAGTGCTTAAAGATAAGGACAACCATTATTACTGGTCTACAATCCCTCACGCATAATTCTGGAATACAGAAAGCTTTGAAAGCCCTCTGTTTCTCATAAGGTGACGATACCTGACTAATGTTACCTTCAGTTAATTTGACAGCAAAATTAGACTAGATTAGCATGAGGCTATTTAGCCTTTATGCCTTTCAGTTAATAAGACTATCCATGCATTTGATGTGAGCTCTTACCGCTTTTGATAGATGTATAGTCTCCATGGGGGTCCTATGTCGTGCACACCATCAGCACCATTTCACTTTCCTGAAATCCTAAACATTCTGAATTCAGGGTCATATCTGGCTCTGAGGGAATTGTCTAAAATATTATGAACCTGCAGAAGGTTATTTTTATTTCTCATTCCTTGATTACTACTGCCATACAGGTCTCAGAGACAGAATTGTGAAACATTTATTTGGGTTGTTTGATAATTAGTTGTCATTATAGTGCAATTTTCTAAGTCAGCATTAAGAAACTGAAAGGAAGTGAATTGAAAAACAGCAGCTATTTTGGAGTCTGTCTGGACTGGTACACTCTGTAAATAAAAGGAGTAAACACTATAAAGTGGTATATATAGAAACAAGGGCACACGGGCATCCATCTTCAAAGCTGACAGTGTTTTTGTAATATGTTGGCTTTATTATTTGTGTGTTTTCAAAGATGTAACATACCCTCCGTATGCTGGTATTTGAAGAAACTAGAGATAAAGAATCTGAGAGAGATTGTATGTTCTGCTTCTGTTGTTTATGATGTCTGGAAATTAATAGAATTTGGATGTATTATGTTAAATATATAAAATTTCCCTGTTTCTTCTTCCTTTTTTTAGTGTAGCTACTAGAATATTTAAATTTGAGCATGTGGTTCCCATGTTTCTATAGGAGAGTTGGTGGTTTAGAGAATGGAGCTGTTAGAATTTCTGAACACAGAAAGTGGAAGTTCCTCACAGTTCTTCTGAAAGATAATCCAGGAGTGTTTCTTTTTGTCTTCTTTTTATACCATAACACATAATTTGTTATATATTTTAAACATTTCTTTTAATAAGGATAGGATTATACTATATAGCTTAAATTTTTCTTAAAATATTTCTTAAAAATATTTCTTAGACATCTTAAAACTAAAGCACATTAGAGAAACATTTAATTCAGCTTATGGTGAATCCTTTTATAAAGCAAATAGCCATTGTGTAAAGCTTATCTCAGGCGTAGCATTTTACATCAATTTGTGTTTTTATAAATCAGCTATCTCATTTGTCTTTAAAGCAGGGTGTCCTTCCCTGTTTTATGGGAAAAAAAAATTTTAGATTGAAGTATAGTTTAATACTTTTTGTTGTTTCAGTGTTATTTAATAAAATATAAATTCTTTGTTTTTTCCCTTTTCCCCAGCAAATTCTGCCCAGCTGGTTGTAAAGACATGGCAGGAGACATCTCTGGGAATGTGAAAGATGGCTACCGAGATGTAAGTGATGGGGGCAATGATAGAGAAAACAAAAGGAGTAAGTGTTGGTTGCTTTACCAGAATTCATTGCAAAGTCAAATGAAATTGGATATGAAATGCTATACAGATGGACCCTTTTCTTTTTCTTGAAACAGTGAAATGAAGTAACTGTGAAAACCAAAATTCTTCGTGTGTTCCTTATTTCCAGTGTTTCTGAATAAGAGTACAAAGGAAATGAAAAGATGAAAATGTTTTTAACACCTAAGACGTGTTATTCCACGTTGCTGGTCAGCTCTCTGTTCCTATAGTGAACACCTGAGAAAAGTTTACCTAAAAAGAGTAAAGGTTTGCTTTGTGGCACATTCTGTAGGTTTTAGGTTATGGTCAGTGACCTGGCTGCTGCTGGGTCAGTCATGAAGCAATGTTTCATAGGGGAGGGAGCACTTAGTTGAGCAAGCTGCTCACCTCAGGACAGCTAAGAAGCAGACAGAGAAAGAAGGCTTTCACAGTTCCTTTCAATGGCATACTCCTGATAATCTAACTTCTTCCCACAAGGCTCCACATAAAAAGTTCCAGCATGCCCTGATAATGCCACAGACTAGGCAGCAAATCTTTGTTCCTTGAGGGACACTTTAGATCCAAAATATAGCATCTATCCAATTTCTACAAGAGGCCATAGATTGGCACCCTCCCCCCTCTCCTTCCCTCCCCTTCCATCTCCCCACCACCATCTTTTCTTCTCCTTCCTTCTCCCAGTAGGGTCTCACTATGTAGCCCTGACGAGCTTGAACTTAGAAGCTGTGCTCTTATTTCTTTCTCTAAATTTAATTTTATTTATTATTGGTGTGTGTATGTGCATGTGTGCTTGTGTGTGTGATATGTATATGTTACACGTTCCACAGCACACATGTGTGAGTTAGAGGACAACTTTGGAGTGAGTCCTCTCCTTCCTCCTTTATGTGGGCTTGGGACTCGAACTCAGGTCTTTAAGCCTGCACTGTCAGGCAGTAAGCACCTTTACCCACTGAGCCGTCTCACCAACCCTAGTTTTTTGATACTTGAATTGGTTTCTGTACTAGAGCCAAGAACATGACTTCACGTCACAGAATGTTGGTGTGTCTGCACATAGTACAGCATCTGCCATACTCTCCTTTGCTACTACCCCTCCCTCAGTCTTTATGCTAAGAGTCTCTACATTGCATGTGTTGTTCTCAGATAGAAATAAATTCCCAGAAGATCATTCTTCTAAGCTGTCATATCTCCCAACACATAACCCTCCATTTATTCCTATTTATGATTTCTATCCTGGAAATCTGAAATTTTTTTTTAAAAACAGGGTCTCACTGTGTAGCCCTGGCTAGCCTGAAAATGGCTATGTAGACCAAGCTGACCTCAAACTCACAGAGATCCGCCTGTCTCTGCCTCCTGAGTAGTGAGGTTAAAGGTGTACATCACCACACCTAGCCTACACTTGACTTTTTGGAATTGTTTGGTTTATTAAAAATGTGAATATCTATATAATGTTGGGAAAAAATTACAATGTGTGTCTTCATGCATACAGGAGTGGCCTTTAGCCACTGGAGAGACTGAAAACTCACCTCTGGCAGTAGAGAAAACATTTGACTTGATTTTGTTTTCTTTTTTGTTTTTGTTTTTGTTTTCTTTTAGTACATCCTGGTTCTGAAATAAATTGTGTTATTTTTCTTTGTTTCCTCTTCCCTGTATTGCCTTTATTTATAAATTTGACACAGGCTATCCATCTGACCTATTATTTGACTTTTTTCCTTTTTTAAAAATTCTTTTTTCAAGCATGTAGGACCCCTAATTTGACTCTTGAAATGGTTTAAACTGCTTTAGTTTGAAAATTTACATAGCAAAGCTATTCCTAAATGATTATAAGGAATTAACTAGGAGAAATAAAACGTTGAAGTGGAGTTTCTTCCCTAGTGGTGGAAGGCTTTTATTTATTGTTTTCCTGTTCTGTGCAGAGATATAGGAATTATGTACAATAAGAGACATCGTTTTTCATGCTTTCTGTATTTGTCTCGGTTCCTCCTGCCAGGATTGTCAGAATGGGTGAAAGCAAATGGTTTCCTCCTACATGGTGGGTCTAAGTACTGTCAGCAGGTGCAAGCAAGTAGCATTTCTATTGGCCAGTCATTGACTGGTTTAGCTCCATTTGCACAGAAAACTCATATTTTGAAAGCTAATTTCTTCAAAGAAGTCTGATTAGTACCTTTCATATTCATGTTGATATAGGACTGCTAGATACTTATTACATAATAATGTACCATATCTTGAAAACAGTGAAAACAGTGCCTAGTGTCCCTCATTTTCTTTTTTAAAAAATTTTGGGCATTTATTTATTTTTTGTATGAGAGAGAGAGAGAGAGAGAGAGAGAGAGAGAGAGAGAGAGAGAGAGAATATGTGTGTATACATCATAGTGTACATGTGGGAGGTCGGAGGACAACTTACAGGAATAGGTTCTCTCCTTCTACCATGTAGATCCTGGGGATTGAATTCAGTTCTCAGGCTTGGTAGCAGACACCTTTCCACTGAACCATCTCACTGCCCCTCATTGTTACATTTTATTTTGTGCGTGTGTGTGTGTGTATGTCCACGCATGCGCCATTGCTTATGTCTGAAGGTTAGAGCACATAACTTTGGGAGTCAATTCTCTCCTTCTACCATGTGGGTTTTGGGGATTGATCTCAGGTTTTCAGGCTTGGCAACTAGCATTTTTACCTGCTGAACTATCTTGCCAGCATGAAGGTGCACATGTGCCGCAGTGTGCATATGGAAGCCAAAATACTACTTTGGGGAGTTCTCTCTTTCCATGGTGGAATCTGGGAATCAAACCCAGGTCATCAGGCTTGCATGGCAAGCACTTTACCTGTTGACCCATCTTCCCTGCCTTGTCTCTCATTTTCTCTGGATTTGGAGCCCTGAGCATGGTTTAACAAGGTCTCATAACAATGCAGCCACTCTGAGGCTCATTTGGTAACAGATAAACTTCTAATCATGTGGTTTGGAAAATATTCAAGTAATTGAGGGTCATTGGACTGAAGGCCTCAGTTCTTCTTGGATTTTGGCTGGAGCTGCCTTCATTCTGGCTGTGTGCCTTCCCAACATGGCTGCACACTTCCTCATAGCCAACAAGGGAGAATCAGTAGCAAAGGAGTCTCCTAGTCAGACTGAATACAGTAGAAAGAGAATGATGTCCTACCTCTTTGCTACATTCTATGAGTTATTAATAGAAGAAAGTCATAACTTCCGCCCATCCTCAGGGAATTCTACAAGGGGGAATTCTTCAAGGCAGGGACCCTGGTGGTTATCTTAGAGTCTGCTCCATGGCAGCTTCCTCTTAGGAAATACATTCAGTGTAACATGGCTTTACACGTCATTTCTGGAAGGGTCCTTGCAAAACCAAAGCATATCCTGTACCTCAAGAAAACAGAATCTGGAAAACTAATTACTATGAGTCATTGAAGTAGCCTTGAGTTCCTGATCCTACCTCCACGTCTCAGGTGCTGGGTTTTCAGGAATGCACCACCACACCTGACTAAGAATATGTTGTTTTAAAGTAATATTACAGAAAAGATATCAGTTCACTCTGTGTGGCTCTAAGACACACAGACAAAAGGCAGCACTAGGATCAGTGAATAAACATTGCAGAGAAGCCAATTTCAGCTGTGTATAAGGAATAACTGGATAGTGTAAAATGGAATAGGATGTCAGGAAAAATGTGTAGATGTTAAAAGCATTTGTTGCCAGGCGTGGTAGCGCATGCCTTTAATCCCAGTACTCAGGAGGCAGAGGCAGGTGGATCTCTGTGAGTTCAAGGCTAGCCTGGTCTACATAGTGAGTTCCAGGACAGCTGGGGCTACAGGGAGACCCTGTCTCAAAAAGACGAAAAAAAAAAAAAAAAGCATTTGTTGATGATTGGTTCTGTGGTGGGGGGAGGTTTTGGTGGGGTGAGGACAGAGAGCTGTGAGTAGGAAACTTTGAAAGGTCTTTGTGAACTCTTAATATTCTGAGTTGTGTCTCCTTGTCTGACACTTCAGGCACCTGTGTTATGTCTGTTCTCAGTGCCACAGAGCACTGTGACCTCTCTTTACAATCTGCCTCACCTGCCTCAGAGCAGGTGTGTTTCAGGCAGCTTTTCAGCTTTCAGTAGAACACATCACCTAAATAACTTATTATGATGATTATTTGTTGTGTTTGGGGGAGCATAAATGTGTCATAGCACACATGTGGAGGTCAGAGGACAACTTGGGGGAGTCCATTCTCTCCTTCCATCATGTGGGTCCCAGGGCTCAAACTCAGGTTTCCAGGCTTGGCAGGAGCCGCCTTTACCTGCTGAGCCATCTCACTGGCCCTTCATTCATTTATTTAACTAATTCTGTGTTCTCAAAAATGTTGAAGAAATACTAGACAATAAAATGGCAGTTCATCAAATATGCTTCTGGTTTAGGCAGAGAAAGGAAGAAACTAGGCCTTGTGCACACACACACACACGCACACACACACACACACACACACAGAGGGAAATACACAATAATGGTGTTTCTGAACAGTGACAATAGAGTGACTTTAATGTTTTTCATAGTTCCCAGAAGTTCTTAATGAATGAAAATTACTTTCATAGAGAAAATGTTACTAATGTGGTAAGAATGAAGATGGTAGCACACAGAACAATGCACAGGACAGGTGGAATTCATTTTATTTTGTTTGCTTTTTCAAGATAGTGTTTCATCATATACCTCAGGCTGATGCTGAATTCCCTGTATAGCCCAGGCTGGCCTTTAACTTGAAATCCTCCTGCCTCAGCCACCCTAGAGCTCACGTTACAGGCATTTGTGACTCTGGAATATATTTGATAACTTACCATCTTGCCATTATTTGACCAACATTTTAAAACATGTTTATTGCACCTTAATTTTTTTGGTTCATGTTTTATTAAGTAAAATCTTGTATTAGTCAGGGTTCTCTAAAGAAACAGAACCGATAGAATGAATATATATCTGACTAGTCCAACAATGGCTGCACCGCACTGGAGAGGCTGAGAATCCGTAGTCGCTCAGTCCACAAGGCTGGATGTCTCAGTAGTCCTGATCTGGTGCTGAAGGTCTGACAAATTCCAAAAGATCAGCTAGTCTTCAGTCTACAGCAGCAAGACAAACTCACCAGCGAGAGAGAAGGCAAGCAGCAAGAAGCCAGGCGTTCTCCTCTGCCATGGCCTTTTATACAGGCTGCCATCAGAAGGTAACACCCACATTTAGGGTGTGTCTTCCAGCTTTAGACGATCCAATCAAGAAGATCTCTTTCATTTCAGTTAATCCCAGGTCCAATCAAGTTGACACCCAGGATTAGCCTAAATGTTTACCTTTTTTAAAATTTAAGAAAACTTTAAATGTGTGTCTATTTGTGTGTATTCACATATATGTGCAGGTACCTGTAGAGCTCCCCAAAAGACTTCAGATCCCCTGGAATTTGAATTACAGACAACTGTGGGTGCTGAGAAGCAAATACGGGTCCTCTGCTAGAGCAGGAAGCATTGTTAACCTCTGAACCATCTCTCCAGCCCCTAAAATGTTTACTTTTATATTAAATGTCCTTTAAAGTGTTGTCAGTACTTTTCAGAATCAGATGGTTTTTCCTAAAAGAAGATTTAAGAAAATGCTGCGGTGCTGGGTACTGGGATGATCTGATGATTGCTTGGGAATTCCTGCCAGTCTTACCTCATTCTGTTGTGTTTGGCTATTTTTTTGTGGCATAGTGTGCTTTTGTGCTGCTGATGCCCTGCATCTACAAGAGCCAGAGCCGTGTATGTATGTGTTCTCCTTGGTGGTCTTTGCATTTCCTTTCCCCCAAAAACTATTATTACACCATTATTCCAGTTTAGTTAAAGAATTTTGTTTGAGGCATATCAGTAATTAACATAGACCAGTGGTGTGGTTTGCCTGTATTTACATTTGACTTCAAAACTAACCACAAAATCAAAATATTAGATGTTCAAAGGGGAATTTTTTTTAAAAATCAGACTTAGCCAGGTATGGTGGCAGACACCTTTAATCCTAGCACTCAGGAGGCAGAGGCAGGTGGATCTCTGTGACATCAAGTTTAGCCTGGTCTACAGGCCAGCTGGGACTACAGGGAAACCCTGTGTCAAAACAAAATAAACTAAAAATCATTTTTAATGAAGATGAATTTTAAAACTTGATAGCACAAGAAGCCACTTAAAATAAGCATCAGTTCTGTTTAAGTTGGATGGATAAGGAAGCATTTTGTTTTTAAAGGAAATAATCCTGGAAAAGGCTGATTATTTTTTTTATTTATTATTTTTATTTTATGTGTATGTGTATACTGCCTGCATGTAGGTAAGTGCACCCGTGTCGTGCAATACCGGCAGAGGTCAGAAGAGACTGTTGGATCCCCTGGAACTGGAGTTACAGACAGTTGTTAGCTGCCATATGGGTGCTGGGATTTGAACCCGGGTCTTCTGCAAGAACAGTCAGTGTTCTTAACTGCTGAGCTATCTCTCCAGCCCAAGGCTGATCATTTTAACCGTGATTATTTAACAGACATATCTGGCAGTGTTGTATCTTAGTGTTGTATCCTATGGTTTACATTAAATATTATGGGAAAATGTTGCTACAAGGTTAAATAGCTTCCTTAAAGAGTCACTGCCATTGAATTCTTTCAATCTTGTATATGTGGGAGGGTAATATTATTTCTTGGCCAATGATCCAGGTAGGTACTGGGTGACCTCTAGTCTGTCCCCTTGCAGCTAAGAAGACTCTAGGACATGCCAGGACCACTGATAGCCATCCCATCCCCAGGCAGAATCCTGGAGAAGACATGATCTGACACAATGGCAATAGCTGCCCAGTAGACTAGGCTGATTTGATCCCAGGGAACAGGGAAGGAGACAGCTCTGTGTGGACTTGACAAAGAATACATTGGGTGCCCTTAGAATCACAAGGTGGCCAACATTCAGAGTAGAGACCACAAGATCTAGTCTAGCCTTGACATTGTCCAGTTGACTTGGGAAGACACATCTAGAGCAGAGAAGTGACTCCAGCATGTCTAGTGCAGTTAGAGGCAGAGCCAAGATACCCACAACTTGAGCATACTAAGCCAGCTCTCCACTACTGAGCTACATCCCTAGCCAAGAAAGTACTTTTTAAAAATATTATTTTTATTTTATGTGTATGAGTGTATTGCCTGCAAGTAGGTAAGTGCACCACCCATGTGGTGAAATGCCCGTGGAGGTCAGAAGAGGGCATCTGATCCCCTGGAACTGCAGTTACAAATGGTTGTTAGCCGCCATGTGGGCGCTGGGAATCAAACCCAGGTCCTCTGTAACAGCAGCCAGTGCTCTTAACTGCTGATCCATCTTTCCAACCCCAAAAGCATTTTTTAAAAAAGTTTTTTGATAAAGGTTTTTATATAGCCCAGGCTGGCCTCAACTGGATATATAGCTAAGGTTGGCCTTGAACTCCTGATCTGCCTACCTCCACTTTCCAAACACTAGGATGGTGGGCATGCACGACCATGAAGAAAGCTCTTTATTTTATTTTATTTTATTATTTTATTTTATTTTTTGTCTTCTTGAGACAGGGTCTTCCTGTAGTCCCAGCAGACCTGAACTCACTATGTAGACCAGGCTGGCCTTGAACTTGCAGTCATCCAGCAGCCTCTGCCTCCTGAGTGTTTGGACTAAAGGCATGTGCCACCACGCCCAGCAAAGAAAGCTTTTTAATGAAAGGTAGGATTAGGAAAGATTAAAAAATGCAAGCTGCATTTTTACTGAAGAACATTATCTTTTTAAAAATTTTATTTTTAATTTGTTTGCAGGACTGGGAATTGAACTTAGGCCTCACACATACTAGGCAAGCTGTCTACCTCTGTACTATAGTCCCATCCCTTTAAAATTTTTTTATTACATTTATACATTTATTATGGAGGGGTCTACACATACCAAGGCATGGGTGTGGAGTGTGAACAGTCAGAGAACAACTTATGGGGGTTGGTTCTCTCTTTCCACCATGTGGGTCCTGGAGATTGACCTCAGATTGTCAGACTTGGTGGGAAGAGCCTTTACTTGCTGAGTCACCTTACTGCCACCATACCGCCCCGTTTTTAAATCTGAGGGGGGTTGGGGACTGGAGAAATGACTCAGCAGTTAAGAGCACTGACTGCTCTTTCAGAGTACTGGGGTTCAGTTCCCAACACCCATACAACACCTAACCACTGGCTGTCACCCCAGTTCCAGGGAATCAAACACCCTCTTCTGGCCTCCCTGGGCTTTGTTTCATGTATATGGTGCGCTTACATGCAGGTAAAACACTCATATACATTAAATAGATGATGATAGATGACAGATAGATAGATGACAGATTAGATAGATGATAGATAGATAGATAGATAGATAGATAGATAGATAGATAGATAGATAGATAAAGTAAATAGTAAATAAGTCTGGGTATATATGTGTGATTTTGGGCATGCATATGCCAGAGCACACCTGTGGAGGTCAAAGGACAACCTTAGGTGTCGTGTCTGTCCTTGCTTTCTAAGTCTCTCTTCTTTGCTGCTGAGTACACCAGGCTAGCTAGCCTTCAAGCTTCCAGAGATTCTCTTGTCTCTGCCTCCCTGGAGTCTCCTTTCCCATCTCACCAAGAACACTGGGATTATAGCCTTGTGTTACTGTGCCTGACTTTACATCAGTTCTCAGGGTCTAAATGTCCTCGTACTTAATAGCAAGTGCTTTTCCCACTGAGCCATTTTCCTCAGCCCAGTGTTTTCTGTTCTGTTTAGTGGCTATTAACCATCCTGGTTTTGATGCCTTCCTAAATCACTGAATTAACAAATAAAGCTATGGTACAGAAGGTTCACCTTCTCAACACCGAATACATGTATGTGGTAAACCAAGCCCAAGAGAATAGGTCCATTTTATCTTTTTGTGCTTAGCAAGCCACCCAAAACTGAGTGGCTTGAAATAACTGCCGTTTTATTTTCTGGTGAGCCTGTGGTGAGCAGATTGGACCCATGAGTTGTTCAGCTCAGTTAGTCTGAAACCGCTCCTAGGTGGTTGCCTCATATGGCAGATCAGCTGGAGCAGACGTCTGTAGTGGTTTCACTAGCATACATAGCAGCTGGCAGGGCTACATTATTTGCAACAGAACAAGCCAAGCTATTTGGCTCAGTTCAGATTGCAGGCAGGAGGTGACTCCATAAGGGCATGGTCACTGAGAGATGCCATTCATAGGGACGGAGACAACTATTGTAAATTAATAGGTGAACAAAAATAGAAAACTCCAGCAGTATCTTAAATGTGATCTTCTGGAAGCTCTGAATGATGATGTTGCTCTGTTTCAGACCTCTTTATTGTGCAAAGCTGCCATTCATGCGGGGATAATCACAGATGAGCTGGGTGGCCAGATCAACGTACTTCAGAGCAAAGGGATAAGTCACTACGAAGGAATCCTGGCCAACGGTGTGCTCTCAAGGCAGTAAGTACTTTGCCTTGCATTCTGAGAGGAGAAAGCCCTGAGGCTGAAATTAATCAGCTCACAGTTTTGAAAGGACTGCAGAGAGGACTACCAGGTGGTAGTCAGCTGGGAACAATAGGTGTGAGAGTCTCAGCAGCATTCATGGACTCCGTGGACAGAAAAATGTAGCAATAAAAAAAACTTCCTGCTTATGCTGGCATGTAAATTAAAATGACACACAGCTGAAATCCCAGTGTGGAGAAGCGGTTCCACTCCCAGGAATGGGAGAGAATAAACACTTATTCCTTTTGAGTTATCTACAACTTTACCTACTACTAAAGGGACAGGAAATTGTAATAAACACTCGTAGAACCACTGAGCTTCTCCCACAAAGATTCCTGGAGACAGTCTCTTGAGGAAGAAGAAGAGTTGAAAAGGGGCAGTAAAAATATAGGGCTCATGTTAATGTTGCTAGCTTCTCAGTTTGCTTCAGACATTTCAACCTAAGCTTTTACATTCACATTTCCTCAGAGTTTAGAAAGTAGACACTTAGAGTTGTATAGACGTGAATGAAGCTGCTCTGTGGTGCAGGTGCCCACACACATGAACGGGCAGCTAGAAGTGGTCAAGAAGGAGGCTTTCTTCAGATGGACAGTAAGGGAGATGTGTTCCTTGAGCTTCCAGATCTCTCTCTCTCTCTCTCTCTCTCTCTCTCTCTCTCTCTCTCTCTCTCATTCTCTTGTTTTCTGTCTATCCTTGAAAATGTCTTCCTTTACTGTGACTGTCTTGTGAACCAATGTCCACACAGTTCTGGTCCCAAGGATCAGTGACAAGACAGAAGCTGTAGTACTCAGGAACCCACAAGTGGGAAAATGAATCAAGACTTGTGTCTTCCTCTACTCACCCATCATGTGAAGTCCTCTAGCCTCACCATTTTGCCCTAGTCCCCTCTGTTTTGTTATTTTTTTCTGACTTTGAAGACTTCAGCCTTTTGCTTCTTCCTCTCCAATTCTGGGATTACAGGTGTGCGTCCAGTTATTCAGTGCTGAGGAATAGAACCCAGGGCTTTGTGCGTGATAGACAAGTACTCTACCAACTGAATCACACCCCAGCACCCCAGTCCTCTCTTGCACAGAAAGATCAAGATTGTGTTTTACATCCTCACGATAGATTGTGGACTGTCTTATCTAGTAAGAATTCCATTACAATCAGGTATAGTGTTTAATGCCTGTAATCCCAGTACGCAGGAAGCTGAGACAGAAGGATTATAAATTACAGGCCAGCTTGGGCTGCATACCAAGATCCTGGCTCAGAAACCAACCCCCACCCCCCAAATCCAAGAGTACCAAAACCACATCTTGAGTAATGGATAGGTTCCCAAGTTAGTCAACATAGGTATAGTGAGTCCTTTGAGAAGGTTACAGGACAGTGTTTCATTTTTCCCTTCTACTTTTCTATTTAAATATATTATTATGACTTAACAAAGGCTTGGGTAAAACTGAAATCCTGATCACAGGCTATAAATGTTGTTTTCATAGGAAAATATATTCTATATTTAAAAAAAAAAACAAAAAACTTCAGAAGTTACAAGTAACAACTGGGTCTAAAACCCATTTCCAGGTTGGAGTCTTGACCCAGACTCATGGGAGAGGGGTTTAAAAATAGCAACTGGAGTTAGGGGAGACATTGGTTAGATCACCTTCTTGAAAGAGGCCAGCTTCAGGTATGATGCAGGAGCAAAGCTTGGGGAGATTAGTGTCAAAGGCTGGAGTGGCAGGTGGCATGTCACATTCATGGCCAGAAAGGGCAGAGCAATTTCACAGTTGGGTAGAGGTAGTTACTGGTCAGAGTATTCCAATCTAAGCCTTTCACAGACAATTCAATTCATGCTATATGTAATACACAGAAGACTGTCCGCTGAGGACAGTGCATGCTGCATGTAGACAAGAGTGGACAGAGTGCAGGCTGCACGTGGGTGGGAGAGAATGGAGCACATGCTGCACGTGGGTAGGAGAGGACAGGGTGCATGCTGTTTAGTTAGGCCAGGTTTGAACTCCTCCTTTGTCTTCCCAAGGCCCTGAATTCCCTCCTCAGTGTGCAACACACACACACACACACACACACACACACACACACACACACACACTTCCCTCAAACTTTGGAGCATTAAATTTTACATCTTGCTTTATGATAAATCTTATTATTTATAGCCAACGTGGTCGCACACACCTTTAATCCCAGGACTCAGAAGGCAGAGACAAGCAGATCTCTGTGAGTTCTAGGCTGACCTGGTCTGCGTAGAGAGTTCAGGCCAGCTAGGGCTATATAGTGAGACCCTGTCTCAAAACAAACAAACAAATAAACAAGCAAAAAACCTGGTTGTTTATACTCTGAACTGAAAATCTTTATACATCAATTTGATCTTGACCTCTGAGGATTCTTGTGTATATGTGTGTTCTTTGATGGTTTCTTCTATTGAAGCTAGGGTGCTATTTGAGGAAGGTACCAGACTCTCAACCTAGATTTTCTGGGTGCTACTGTCTCAACATAGGAATGTAGAATCGACCTTTGGGTTCAAATCCTTTACCTTGATTGTAAATATCAAAATTCTACTTTTAAAAGAAAATAAGATAACAAACTTTATACTGCTTGGACTTATTTTAATTTTGAAGAAAAACATTGAAACTATTGAATAAAAATAGATTTTATTTTCTCAATTACCTGTGTACCTAGTGACCTTGATACACATATAATTTTTTTGTAACTTGAAGTTAAATTTCCATGCCAAAAAGAGTTCCTAAATGTAAATAACTAGCAAGTTGGAAGAGAACTGGTGATGTATTACATAGAGTTATTTGAGCTAGTTGTCTTGTTTTGGATGGGACTAGAAAGTCCAGAATTAAATTAAGTTCCCTTCTTCCTCCTAGCCCTGTGACTTCTGCTTTTTGGTCTGATCTGAACAAGGAGTCAACTGTATGTGAATAGTGTCTTCCACACATTTCGATTCCCAAATCTTCAGGGAGCAGCTGTTTTTATCTGTGTTGCTTTGCTGTTGGGGAGCCGTCGTTCATGCGTTCATGCGGTCATTGAACTTATGTTCCCACACATGATTGTTTGGTGTTCAGGAAAAGCACAGAAGGAAGCACAGCAGCTGAGGAAGAAGGGTCCCTAAAGTAAATATCCAGACTCTTCTGGGATTCATCTGGGGTCAGGCCACTTCCTGGATTTGAAGAGACCAGAATGGAATCAGGAAGAGAGACTGACCTCATCCAGAGGAGGAGGCTCTGACTACGAGAAGGGAAAGCCTTTCCTTTGTGTTCGTCTGGGATTCTGGACTGTCTGTCTCTGGAGCCCTGGGGGAGGCGCCTGATTCCTGTAACTTGATGGAATTCAGTTGCCCCACTGTGTGAATGCATCAGAGCCCTGCTTTCCTCAGGACAGTAGTTTTTCAAAGAGGAGGTTTATTTACCTTTAGAGTTCTCTACCTGGTCCCATTTAGTTAGTTTAATAGAGCAAAATGGAGGAACAGATTTAGCTGATAATGGAGGAAAGCTAGGCAGAGCACTGCAGCAGAGCTTCCCTCCCGTCTTCGTTGTCTTTTCTTTTAAATTTCTTCTTTTTATTACATTTTTAAACAGAGAGAGAGAGAGAGAGGAGAGATCACTGCACTCCTACACATGCACATGTGCACATGCCACAGGATGAATGTAGAGGTCAGAGGACAACTTGCAGGAATGGATTCTCTCCTTTCACTGTGTGGGTCCTGGGGAGCATCAGGATTGGTGGCAGCACTGTTACCTACTGAGTTGTCTCACCAGCCTCATGTCCTCATTTTCAAAAGTCATCCTTTCTGTGTTTACTCTCCCTAGTTAACAACCCAAAGACAAAGTGAATACTCGTGTTTCATGGCAGTGAGGACCAGTGCAGGTGCTCGTGGTTGCAGTATTTGATGTGAGCTTTGGGGGCTGCATTTCCAGGGCTGCAACTGAGAGAAAGAGAATGGAAATATCTGAGGGAGAGGCTTTATTCCCAATAGTATGCAACCTTCTTGAAGGATCACAAGAGCTGGAGCCTCATCCCAGTATGATGATTCCTTAAAAAACCAAACACAAAACTGCCATAAAACCCAGGTGTGCTACTTCAGGGTATATGTACAAAGGACTTTATATCCACATATCATAGAGATACCGCTCATCCATGCTTAGTGCTGTACCATGCACAGTTGCCAATACATGGAGTCATCCCAGATGCCCTTCAACAGATGGAAGAATAAAGAAAACATATGCAATCGAGTTTTTTTTTAATGAAGTTTTATTCAGAATGAAATTATGACATTTTTCAGGAAAATGGGTGGAACCAAACAGGAATCATCACATTAAGCAAGATACGCTAGACTTGGGAAGACAAGTGTCACGTCTTCTCTCATATGCAAAATCTACATTATATACTGTCTGGGTGTGGTGGTACATGCCCATAGTCCCAGCATTAGGGAAGCTGAAGTAGGAGGATTATGGCAAGTTTAAGTAGCCTAGGCTACACAGTGAGTTCTAAGACAACTTTGGGCTCCATAACATGACCCTATCTCCAAAACAACAGCAAACTAGAAGGGAGATTCTTTATGGGTTGGGAAGCCATTGAGAGTATAGAGAGAGGGTGATGGGTTGCAAATATGATCAAAGTACATTGTATACATGTATGAGAATGTCATAGTTAAACCGATTTGGTAGAGTTAATACTTATTATTAGGAAAGGTCGTATTTCCTAGCCTTTGTCACCTGTATGAATTTGAATTTATGAAGGCTGCTGAGTTAACTGATCCATAAAATGCTGATAAACCCACAGGATTGTGCTTCTGGCCATGGGAGGCTCTGTGAACCCTGCAATGCAGCCCTGTACTAGTCTCCAGGATCTAAGAAAACTCACCTCTTGTTTCTCTTTATCGTTTCAGTGGTTCCCTGTCTGAAAAGCGCTTTCTGTTTACCTCCAATGGTAAGGAGCATGCTTTCCTTAAGAAGTTGGTTGTTTATTTCTGTAAACCTCACAGGTTATATAGTTTCAAGAATTTTATGAGTTTTTGGTTTCTTTTGGTTTTTTTTTTTTTCTTTTTGTAATACTGGGTCTTATGTATGCTAGTCGGGTGCTCTACCACTGAGCTACAGCCCAAGCCAGGAGTCTTCTTTTTCTTTCAGGTCATAGGGCACCAGATCTTCTGTGGTTTAAAAATACAAAGCTGGGTATGGTTTGCACACCTGTAATCCCAGCACTTGAGAAATAGAAGCTGAAGGATTAGGAATTCAAGGTCACCTTCAGCTTTGTAACAAATTCATAGCTAGCTTGAGCTGCTTGAGACCCACTTTCAAAAACCAAATAGCTGGACATGGTACAAAACCCAGCTTCCTCCCTTTACCTATGTAATAGTCTCTGGATGGTTGAGCCCCCTATAAACTGCTCCTCTCAGTTCTGATTTTAAATCTAACATGGACCTAGCATGTTAGATTTTTAAAAATATTTTATTTATTATTTTTATTTTATGTATATGAGTGTTATGCCTGCATGTAAGTAAATGCACCCGTGACATGCAATGCCCGCGGAGGACAGAGAGGCTGTCGGATCCCCCGGAACTGGAGTTATGGACAGTTGTTAGCTGCCATGTGGATACTGGGATTCGAACTCGGGTCTTCTACAAGAACAGTGTTCTTAAGCACTGAGCCATCTCTCCAGCCCCCTGAATCATCTTTCTAGCCTCAAAACTGCCTCTTTTGTGGGGTTGGGGACAATTTTATTTTCTGAGACTTAGCTAGACATTTACACTTTCTCCTTTTGATTTCCAATGTCATTAAATGCCAAGCATGTGTTCATTTTCACTGCGCATGAAACGGTTTTAGATCAAGAGTTTTGCTTGTGAGCCATTTATGTTGTAACGTGGTGGCCATCTCCTCTAGGAATGAATGTTACAACTGTGGCTATCCCATTGGTGATCTTCATTGCTCTTCTTCTGGCTGGAATGGTGGTCTTCGCAGTCTTTAGAAGGTATGTGACTTTACACTTTTTAATTTATTCTCTAATTATGAAAGCAGTTACTTTCTCATTGCTGTGACAAAATATCTGACATAGTAACTTACAGAAGGAAGAAAGTATTTATTTTGGCTCACAGTTTGAGGGTGTAGTTCATCATGGTAGGAAAGGCATGAAAACAGGAGTGTGAAGTAACTGGTCCACATTTAGGGTGGCTCTTTCTTCCTAAGTTAAATGCTGCTAGACACATCCTCATATATAAATCCAGAGGTTTTTTTCACATGGTGATTCTAAGTCACATCAAGGTGATAATCAAGATTAACCATCACACAGTCACAAACCCCCAAAGTTTATTCTTCTGATATTCACGTGCTTAAAAATAAAGCAGCATGACTTCTTTCAAGATGAAATATTAATTTATATTTTAAAAACAGGTTGGGTCCAGATGTTGGCATAGAAATTATCCAATGATACTTTCTAAGCAATTCTCATCACTTAGAAACCTTGAAGTCCACATCTGGGTTCTGCTCCCACCCTGACAGCAGGCAGCCCAGTGCTGTCTGCCCACGCCTGTTTTCTCATGTATAGAATGAAGACATTTACTATGGTGGGTGCTAAGTCGTGTCCAGAACCCCATTCTTCATGTTTATTATTATAAGAAATGCTAGTAGAAGTTGAATTTAAACAAAGGTGGAAACCATCCTAACATTCTAATTTTACATTTTAATCAGCCTTTTAGAGCTTACAAATGTGTACATTAGTATAAATAGAATGAAGATTCATTCTCCAACCCCAGCATAACTGATCAGAGGTACAAAATCTCTGGTTTAAAGCATGTGTTAGCTTAATGTGTTTGTGTTAATTGGTTTTAAAGACACCTATAATTTTGGGGCCTGGAGAGATGACTCAATGGTTAAAGAGCATTGGCTACTCTTTCAGGAGACCTGGGTTTGAATCCCAACATTCACATGGCGTGACTAACAACTGTCTATAACTCCAGTTCCAGGAGATCTGTCACCCTCTTTTGGCCTCTACAGGTATTGCAGAACATGAGTGCTCTTACATACATGCAGGCAATACATTCATACACATAAAATAAAATAAAAAATTTTTTTTAAATGCACCTATAATTTTGGACTTTATAAAAAATAAAACAGAAAAATAAT